CATTCACACACACACACACACACACACACACACACACACGTGCAAGATATATGAAATGTCACACATCTTCTTGTTCCCTTATCCTACTTCACATCTACAGCCACCATCTTTTCTCTTATAAAGAAACCGAAAAAAGGCAGGCTGTAAAAGGTCCATCAGATTGCTCATGCTGTGATTTTGTAAGCTTGGAGGTAGCATACATTGAAAGCTGTACAATCGTGACCTCTTCTTGTTCGTTTTGAAATTGAGAATAAGCTTTCATCAATCGTCAATCAGTGTCATCATTTGACCTTATCCAGTGACACTTTATCCTCCGCAGGTTTTCCAGAGAGCAGGAAACACTTCCGGACCACTTCTACTTCGCTGACTACGAGCGACACAACGCTGAGATAGCCGCCTTTCACCTGGACAGGTATATTGTTGGCCCAGCGACTTTGCCTTTTTTGGCATATTATTTTATCTCCGCGTCGGCATTGGGTTCGTCTTATTCTTCTCCTTGTCCTACTCGTTTTAAAAGTTCTTATTTCGAGGGTACCATTCCAAAAAGTCATATCTAACATTTGCTACTTTTCAGGAGACGACGAAAAAAAACCTGTTTCATCTCCAAGCAGTTAGAGATACCGGTTTCATTTCTTGCGTGTGAGCATCAAAGTACAGTCCACGCTCGTACTTCTAATGAGCTTGTGGCTGCCTATGCCACTTTTCCTGTAATGATGAGTTACGGTAAACTGCAAATCGAAACTTGCAAGCAAACTGTAGTAACACCAGTTACGACAGTCAGATGTTGAAGACAAAGTGTCGTATCTTGAGTTACGACTTTTTGGATTCCAAATTCCAACAGACAGGGGTATCGCAACTCCAGATACGACAGTTTCATTGTCAAATCTCAGTATATTTCACTTACTTACAAGTACTTACTACTTTTAGGAATTAAAATAAACACACTCCAAAGGTGCAACAGCTTTATTTTAACACTTTACCAGAGTTGAAACATTCAAATTAGGGTGCAGCAAAAAGAGAGGTCACCCATCCCACAGAGTGGGCGCCTTGTTGACCGTGAGGTGCGACCCGTGTGGAGGGAAACCGGGTACCTGGCGGTTGGCGTGAGATTAGTCTACGGACTGTCCCTCGCCAACACACCTCTTTGGCCCAGGTTTTCCTCTTAGACGGGAGGGTGGCACAGCCCATGCCACTCAATCGGTTGGGAATTGAAACTCCCTCAAGCCCTGGGTCACTCTTGTCGGGAGGGTCTTGTGCGCTCTCGTGGAGAGTATAGCTCCGGAGTAGCCCAGGCACTGCTCTGGTCATCCGAGCAATGTGTCCCCTTGTTGGGCTCGATCATGTTGGGGAGCCCTGGAGCTGAACCAATAAAACCACTCACATGGAACCTTCTTCAAACAAAAACCCTTCCCCAGCTCCCAACGGTAATAAAAAGTCTCGCTCGCGGAAGCGGGTGCGGCCGCCGAGCCGAGCAAACCTACCCCAAACGGAAAAGGGACCTTTACGGCTGCCTCTGCCCTCCCCCTCTCAGAAAGCTTCCGCGGCAGCTGCACTTGACCATCCGCAGCACCGATGCGTAGGAAAAGATCACAGATCTCATCCTTTTTAAAACAGGAGATGCACTACGACAGGTTTTGGGATACATTCCTACGAATGTCCAGAAACTGTCCTCGGGTGCTCTCCTCATCAAATGCGCATCGGATAAAGAACTGGTCGGACTTGAGACGAACTCGACCTTCGGTGGTGTTCCTTGTGTGTCCGAGCGACACCAGAAGTTTAACCAGTCGAAGAGGGTGGTCCGTAGCCATGAGCTGAAGGGCTGCTTAAACCAAAAATTGTGGATAACTGCGAGAGTGTGGTCGAAGCCCGCCGGATTAATCTTCGGCGGAGGGAGACCACACTTGAACCGAATATGATCATTCTAAGTGTCGATTCGTGTCGCCCTCCAGCCACTGTTCGGGCATCGTACTTGGTCTTGGACGTGCGACCCTATGTGCCAAAACCTCTGCGCTGCTTTCAGTGTCAAGTTAGTTGCTATGCCGACGTGCAACCGCGTGTCCTCGCTGCAGCAAGACTGGGCATCCTGAGAAGGAATGCATGGCTAGTCCTTGCTGTCCAAATTGCCAAGGCCAGCACACAACCTTCAGCAAGGATCGCCCGACTTGGATCGAAGAACGTGCGATCCAAGAGTACAAAGCGCGAATTGGCTGCTCTGTTCAAGAAGCCCGC